TAGCAGAATAGCATGGCTACCATCATCATAAGTACATGAAAAGAGGAGCTACTGATTACACATGCCAAGTGTTCCTGAATTCCGAAAAAAAGGTTACAGTTGTAGTATTTGACAAATATTATGGTCATCACTTGTATTGTAGGGAGTACACCGTTTGTGTGAACTATGTCACACTGAAATGGCTGATAAACTCCCAAAAACCCAGAGGGAACAATTGCATGTTTAAAATCACATTGTAAGAGTAGAATTTTGTGCTAGTAGTGCTCATAGCTCCAAGGCAGGAAATTCTCCATGTTTTGCGTAATGGAGAGCTTTAGGCCACCAGGATGTGTTGGAAACTATCGCCAATGTACAGAAGCTGTCCTTTTGAACACATTACAAAAATACATTGTTTGATGGTATAGACACTATACTCAATGTACTGGCCAGAGGAAAAACTGGCCATGCCAGAGAGTGGTAAGTACTCCTCTGAAGAGAATTGCCTATATATAGCTGGTCCTTTGCCTGGAACTGAAAGAGATAGTTGGTATCTGTTGGTCTTTATGTATTACTTCAAGTGAACTGAAGGTTATCCATTGGCTGACACCACCTGTATGTCATGATGGCATACCACGCAAACAAGCAACATTCAATTATTTGTTTGTTTTAGCTACACAATAGGCTATATGCAACCTGTTCAAGGAGAGGGAATCAAACCCCAGATTTTAGCTGAAAGGATGAGAAGTACAACTCTCAGTGGATCTTATGTATGGTCCTATATACAGTACAGAGGTACTGTCCACAGAAATGTTACAACAAAAGTAGTGGAATCAAAGTTCAAGCATAATTACCAGGTAGGGCTGTGGTACATGCATGCAGTGTGTGAACAAGTTGATTCTGGCTGGACTGGTCCAAATCTTGTCTTTTGACAGTTCAATGAAGTGAATTATGAGTTCCATCACTTGTGAAGTACAAGCACATCAACAATCTGTTAAGCTACATTACTGATGATCTTCTTGAAGTCTGGTTACTCCAGGAATCAGAGGTAAATAAATAACGTTAACTCTGATGATGATAATACTGTGTCATATGATCTCAGCTTAACTGATGAGAAACTGGTAATACATATCGGTCTGTATGTGAAGAGCTTGGTAAAGAAGCACTAGTAGAGGAGCAATCCATCTGCTCTAATGGTCAGCTAAAATGACGAACTTGTAATTGTTATGGCTGGAATTAGCTGTTTGATCACCAGTTAGGACAGTCATTTGATTGAAAAATCAATGACCATAAATAAGTTGCATTCCTAACTCCCCAAGCTATCAAATTGTATTTCATGATAGTACACATGTGCAGTATATTATGTGACAGCCACTTGATTATTGCACAGTTAAGACTGTTTAGGTAAAAAAAAAAAAAAAATCGACGACAAAATAAAGGGCATTATGACCCTTATTTTCTGAGCTATTGAGAAATATTTGGTAGTAGGATGTTGGCTTTACGTTTTGCAATAATTGTCAGCCGATATAGTTGAGTTTTAGTGAAATGTCTGAGGATCAGATCACTCAAAACTTGCTTTATTCAAAGCTAGAATAGCTGTAATTGTTTGATGAAAACCACAGGGAAAGTTACAGCTGGATTCAACTGTTAAAGAATGCTGGGAACTGATCTATTTTGACATATGTAAAGTGATGTCAGTTGCAACACCAAGACTCTGATATTCTATAGTTCTGGATGGATCATTGAGAAGGATTGATAATGTTTATCATGTAGAAACATGATACTAAAACATTAATTCAAGATCACTTCATAACCATAGACAAAATGTCGCCCTCATCTCACTCCTTAAAAGTGGAGTCACTTACCTAACTCCAGACCAATATTCTGGTATGACTCTGGAACTATGAGCAGAAGCACTTAAACGTGTATATTCATTAACTCTCATTACTAACCAATAGATTGTTAAACAGCTAATCAGTTCATTATCAGACTGGTCTCCATGATTCTAAAGATGATTTAATTTTATCTAGTTGGGTTTGACAGTCATTAGCGACTTGAATATTTTTAGTAAGCTCTTACTGTTTAGCATCTCTTAGTACAGAAAGAAATATATTTTGATATAAAAATAAACAATAATTTAAATTTAAAAAAAACAAATGTTTTTATTTGCCTTAGACATTTACTTATTTTAAATTAACTTCAAAGAATTTGTTTTTCTTTTAAGTTGTAGAATAAAGACTACAAAGAATATGCTCGTTATTTTTAAATATCATGGTGATTTGGGGTTAACAGGCTGATAGCTAAATGTAATTGTACGTGGATGTGACTATACTGTTTAGTGGGTTTCTAAAAAAACTAAATAGAAAAAAAAAAAAAAAAAACTGTTAG